CAGATCTTTTTAACCCTGCATTTTTGCCTGCTCCACCATTACGATGTCCTCATTCCAAGTTGCCGCAACGTCTATCAGGGTTCATTCATGACTGCACACGTGCACAATTGTGATATCAGATTATCATTATTATGATCCTTTTATAATTGTGCTTGTCCCGCCCTTCGTTAGTTCGCACGACCATTGCGTCCTGCCAATACCTAATAAATAATGGACTACTTCGTTTTGATCGAGCGAGAAGACAAAAGACATGAAAACGCTACTTGGTTTAAGTCAGAAAATGAAAGAAAGCAGGTAAAATAATTCTAGACTGTGAAAACGCTTGATTTCCTGATACAAGTTCTGTTAATTAACCCATAGCTGGTGGTGAGAGGAGATGGATTCATACCTTTCTCAATGGTATTTGCCCGGAAGTGAATATAACAAACCCGACTGGAATTAGAACTTGGCTTTTCTAATTTCCAGTTTCAAGCTATTCTTCATTACACCACCTGCACATCCAAGCTCACAGCATCTGGTATTCACAAGCGGTCACCCATCTAGCTACTGACAAGACTCGATATTGCTTAACTTCCCTGATCATACGAGATCAACTTGTGAAAATTATCCAGAAGTATGTTTAGTTTTTTTTTGTTTGCATTTGATATATTTTAGAGCTACCAGTAAAATTGATACATGTATTTGATTGAAGAATTCCTTATCTTTCACCCCCACCCCCAATCCTAACAGATAATGTTGTTTTCTTGAGATATCCTATTCTCCTTATTTCTATCGCGGTGTCCTTGTATTTAGCCATTCCAAAGATTTCAAAGACGTGTTTTTGTCATGTTTTTTGTTTGATTCATTTTCTACGATTTAGCAAGCCTTTGCAGGTTACCTAAATTTAGCAAATATCTTTAGATTATAAGAATTTATTTTTTGGGATATAATAATTGTTTAGTGATACAAGTCTTAGTAATTAACCCATTGCTGGAGAGAAAAAGGGTGAATTCATTCCCAGGAATATTTCCGCGTAAAAGTTAATACGTCTGTGAGATGCCAGATCAGGGCCAATTACGTTGCCTATCCGTCTCTGGATCTTATCAAGAACCTTGAGACAAACATAAGGGGCACAAGACCATGTATGGCAGCAATACAACATGCAAGGGCGAATGGTTGATTTGTAGATTTGAAGGATCGATCCCGGGGAGAAAAATGTCCGGGCGCGGCACAGGGAGGCAAATTTCCTTGCGGTGGGTGAATCTATTGACACAATGTATTTGTTGCGTTGAGGGATGGTTCTCTGTGGTGAGTAATAGAGAGCAGTTTTGTTTTTGAGGTGTTAAAGTTAACCAGCCAATTCATGCCCCAGTTCACAAGCGATTGGAGGTCCTTTTCGAGACGAACGGCCAGGTTAGTTTTGTCGACAACACTAGATATGTTTTTGTGACGGGAGTAAGTTGTAGTGTCGTTTATATATATGTGACAAAAAAAATCCAAGAGTTTAAAAAGATAAGCTATAATTTTACAAAACTCTTCATATTCAAAAGAAAATTTCGGGTGAAGATTTTCCCCAGGTAGCAAAGGTCATTGCTGAACAAGGAGAAAGAAGCAAACCATTCGAAGATTCTGCAACCATTATAGACGTATTAATTGACGCATACAGGGAAAGGTACACTGACGTTGAGAATCATGACATCCCACTCGAATTAGCATCTCAATCTCAACTAGTAGATGTCTTCAAGGCGCCTAAAGAACTAGAGACGGAATTGACTGAGCTCTCGGTGACATTTTAATGCCCTTATTTGATAAGATAGAATCCCTTTGAAATATAAAAAAAATAGAATAGAATACCTATGTCTTTGTCAGCATGCACGGAAAATGCTTTCTCTGGTTCCCAGACTGCATGCATTTAAGCGAGCTACTAGGTTGGCATTTTGGTCCCACCATTTCACTGTCGTAACGGTTCAACCACTTATTACTGAGGACCTTCATTCTCTTACCTAACCGTGATTCTTCTAGCTAACCAAAATTCTTCTACCTAACCATATTACTCCTACATAACCAAAACCAAGACGACATTAAGGTCAGATATCTATTTAGACGATCAGCTGAAATTCCCGACTCCATGTTGCAACCAAATATTCAAATGCTATCCTACAAAAATGTAGTCAAAACAAAGTCATTAAAATATCAGTTAACTTTAGAATTAACAAATATTTTTACTTAGTTCATAGAAGTTAGTACATAGTAGTAGTAATGGTAGATTTTGAAGAATATCTCATTGAATATTTTAATGCGACCATTTTAGTTTACAAATCAATGCGGCGTTTCAACATATAAAAGTTCCTCACCTCTGTCTTAGATTAACAAAAACGGAACACAGGTTCATTTCTTGTTTAGAGGCACCTACTTTTGGGTTATCGCTAGCAAACTATACTGTACAATTATGTACATTATTATATTTTTCGGACTTTTGTCCTCATCTTTATCACCATATTCACGATGTTTCGGCAGTTGTACTGACCGGCATTCTTCAGATGATTGGAATTTCGAACTGAACCCTTTATTTCGTCCAACATGCAATGCTATCTTTCGGATGTCTAAGTAGCCAGGTATTGAACTCGCCACTCTTTGGATCAAGTCACTGGATCCAACCAACGATTTATCCAATTGAGGACATAAGCGTATGAATTTTTCTTATAAACTTAATGACACAGTCGTCGATTTTTTACCAGTGCTCATATTGCAATTTTGTTATTATTCCTTTCCTCTAGCACACCGTATTACTGGTTCCCATATTGATTCATTTCTATGTTTGGTCGGCTCAGGAGATTTTTTTGGCCTATGTGCTGATTCCATAAGTTTTTGTATTTTCCATTGATGTTCTTTGTCTATTATTTCAACCTCATCCCACAGTGGGGCAATGATCTCCTTTTTCCCTCCATATATAATCATCTACGCCTGATTTTACTATTTCCCCTCGTGTTACGGCTTTACGAAGTTGTTGCCGTCTTACCTTAAAGGAGCGGCCTGTTTCTCCTTTATATTTCTTACCACAGCTGCACGGGACGGCGTACACACAGTTCTTAGTCATGTTCTTTATGGTGGTCTTATTCGGAAAAGGTGTCTGCGAAATTTCAAACCACTTTTGAAGGTCGTCCTGGTGCTATATGGACCAGAGATCTTTTGGATGTTGTCCGATAATCCTTTCACATAGGATAAGCAGACCGATAATCCTTTCACATAGGATAAGCAGACCGATAATCCTTTCACATAGGATAAGCAGACCGAACGTGTTTTCTGTATGTTGTTATTCTCGTTTACCTTTCTATCCCAGTCTGTCGGAGTTTCTGCCATGTAATCAGAGTAGTCGCTATGTTGTAGTGTACTGTTTGTACTGGCCATTTGTTGAACATATGTCTCTGGGGTATCGTTTGAAATTCCAATCACCTGAAGAAGGCCGGAGCGTAACCGGCCGAAACGTCGTAAATATAGCAATAACGATAAAAACAACAGTCAGAACAATGTAAATAACAAAAAATAATTACAATACCTCATCTCAGAAATAGATGTTGAAGGTAAATATGACAATAAAGATGAGGACAGCAGTCCAGATAATGTAAGTAATCATAATGCCTCATTTCAGAGATGAGGACAACAATCTGACCAATGTATATAACGTAAATAATCACAATACCTAATCTCAGAAATATAGTTTAAATATTTATTCCTAAAGATGTGTCTAACTTATGTCTGCTTCAGTTGATGTGTGTTTAGTTAATATGTAGATCTCTTTCTATTGAAATTCTTGGGAGATATTTATTATATAAATAGTGTAAATAGTTAAAATACCTAATCTCTTAAATATACACAGATCTTGAAGAAAAATATGGCAACAAAGATAAGGATAACAGTCCAAATAATGTATGTAATCATAATACCTCATCTCAGAGATATAAGACGTCGAAACGTTGTGAATATGGCAATGAAGATGAGGATAACAGTCCAAACAATGTAAATGATGCAAGTAATCATAATACCTCATTTCAGAGATATAGAGGCGGAAACGTAAGTATGGCAATGAAGATGAGGATAACAGGCCAAATAAGGTAAATGATGTAAGTAATCATAATGCCTCATCTCAGAGATATAGAGGCCGAAACGTAGTGAGGATTACAATGAAGATGAGGATAACAGGCCAAATAATGTAAATGTAGTAAGTAATCATAATACCTCATTTCAGAGATATAGAGGCCGAAACGTTGTGAATATGTCAATGAAGATGAGGACAGCAATTTGACCAATGTATAAAACGTAAATAATCACAATACCTAATCTCAGAAATATAGTTTAAATATTTATTCCTAAAGATGTGCCTAACTTATGTCTGCGTCAGTTGATGTGTGTTTAGTTAATATGTAGATATCTTTCTATTGAAATTCTTGGGAGATATTTATTAATCATGTATTTTTATCACTGATTGTATAGAGCCGTTTTCAATACGGAAACGGTAGGTTTTCACTTTCTAGCCAATAAATAATATTGCTATTTCAGCAATATCTTGTAACGTTCGGGGGCATTGAGTGTATAATTGACAGGATTCGGTATATTTCTGCTTGTTGAATCACTAGCTTCCGATTTTGAATATTCGAGAGGAAAATCTAAAAATGGTGGATTATAATGGCCGACATGCATTTTCTTTGCATGAAATTTGATTGATTCACCATGAGAATTGTTAGAAATCTGAAATACCAGCAGTTTTAATACATTACATCGATATTCGATAAATTTTGTGGCATCCTTTCTTCCTTGTACCACTTTTCTTTGATTTTATTCTTTCATTTTATTTGTTTACTTTTAATATTTGTCTTCTTTCCGTTTATTTATTTATTTATTCATTATTTTATAAATCTTCTCTTCTCTCAATGTGATATTTTCAGTACTTTTTTTTGTTTCGGTTACATATTCTCCATCTTCAAATTAAATGTTGATTCAAGTTTTCAAAAGAATTACTATAGATCTTCCTTCTTTCCATTTTCTTTCTTTTTCATTCAATTATTTTTTCTTTCTTTCTTCTTTGCAATCTTCCCATTAAAGTTTTATTTTTTCATTTTTCTCTTTCCCTCTTTAACTTCCCTTTGTCCTTTTAGTCTTTTCTTCTTTCACTGTTTTTTTTTTTTTTTCCTTCAGGCATTTATTGGAGATTCTTTCTTAAATACACTTTTTTCCATATTTCACAGTTTTTCTTTCTTTCATTATAATTCATATTTTTCTTTCTTATTTAATATTCTGTCGTTCGTTTATTCTTTATTTTCTTTCTTTTTTAATCTTCCTTTTCCAAGATTATCTTATTTTCATCTCTAAAAATCTTTCTCATTTATACTCTCACTTTCTTTCTCGATACTTTTATAAACTTACTTTCTTTTTTCGTTCTTAGCAAGTTTTCTTTCTTTTTTTTTCTCGTTCCGTTACAGACTTTTCTTTCATTCCTATTTAAGTATCTTTTATTTATTTATTTTTTTATGCTCTCTTTTTCTAATTCCATTTTTTATATTAATTCTTTCTTTTTCTTTCTTCTTTATTTTATGTTGTTGTGCTTTCTTTTTTCTTTCTTTTTGTTTCGACCATCGATTGAGGATTGATTTTACTTATTTATAATCTCTCTTTTTTTTTCTTTTTTTTATAGACTTTCTCTCTTATTTATTGTTTTTCCTCTTTTCCCTTTCTCTCTTGCTCACTTTCTTTCTTCTCTTTTTCTATCAATTTTCCATCGAATATATTTTACTTTCTTTAATTTTCTCTTCCTGCTTTTTGACTTGCGATCTTTTCTTCAAGAATCTTTTTTCATTTATAATTTAATTTCTCTCTTCCATCCTTCCTTTCTTTCTATCGTTTTTTTCTTTTCTTTGCCATGTGTAGTATTTCTTTTCTTTTATTTTTTTCGTACTTCTTTAGGGTAATTTTTTCTTAGTTTTTATTTATTATCTTTCGTTCTTTCTTACTTTCTGCTTCTTTCTTCTTCTTTTCTTCAGGTGTAGTCCTTTTTTCTTTCATTCTTATGGTATGCATTTACTTCTGTCTTTCGATTTTTTTTCTAACTCATTTATAGTCTTACTTTTTCGTTCTGATTTATAATCATTCTTTCTGTCTTATTTATAGTTTTTCCTTCTTTATTTTTATTTGTAGTCTTTCTTTCTTTCCTTCATTCTTTCTTTGTTTCGTTTTTCTTTCATTTTTATTTATTGTTTGTCATTCTTTCGTTTTTCTCCTTTCCTTTCTTATTTATAGTCTTTCTTTTTTCCTTTCTTTCGTATTTATAACCTTTCTCTCTCTCTTTCTTTCTTTCTTTCTTTCTTATTTATTTGACTATTTCTCTTTGCTTCTTTCTTATTTATAGTTCTTCCATCTTTCTATGTCACTCTATATCTTTCTATTTTCTTTCTTTCTTTTTCTTTCTTTCTTTTTCTTTCTTTCTTTCTTTCTTTCTTTCTTTCTTTTTTTTAAGCTCTATTCTCTTTTCTAATGCGAGGGAATTCTCACGTCTTCACATCGTTTTCCTCTCCCTATTGTACGAATAATTTTAGTATCGACATTTTTTAATAATTACAATCGATATAAAATTTATTGAATTTGCCTTGTTAAGGACACCACTGATTTTCTAGAAAAATCCCAGTTTTTTCTCATTTTTCTCTCACAATCCTCCTCCTCTTCCTCCTCTTCCTCATCCTCATCATCATCACCATCAACACTACCACCACCACCAACAACAACATTATTATCAACATCATCGTATTCTTTATAAGGTTTTCATGAAATAACAATTTTTACACTTATTATTGCTGCTGAAGTGCTTATTTTGTAGATGCAGCTTTCAATGTGTCTTGATCATTATTATTAGGACCTTTTCAGTTATTGTCTGTTTCTCTCCATACCACATCTCATTCATGGAGCCGATCGATACATAAATCAGATTGGCTTGCCCCCAAATTCTGCTTGTTAAATAAAAATAAAACTACATTTATGAAGGGGTAAGATTTATATTAAATATTAACTTGGGGAATAACATATTTACTTCAACTTTTTGCTCATTCCAGGAACTTCAAAATTTGTTACCTCTCACAAAATAAAAAGATTAAAAAATATAATTAGGTGCCATTTTTACCTTCTTCTTTTCTTCTTCTTCTTCTACTACTACTACTACTACTACAACTACTACTACTACTATTACACCTACGTATCGTTTTCTCCCAGGGCGTTGTTCGATTATGCCTCTCTACGGATTCCTGCCCTTTGTAAAACAAATATTTTATACACTCAATTTGACAGTCTCCTGAACTGTAAGGCGGACCTTATCTTCCTCATGCAAGCAACAGTTGCATACACACGTCTCCAATTTACAGACTCATCTTCATCATATATCGCGCAAGGTTTTTTTTTATGAGAGTGAGGGAGTGAAAGAGAGAGAAAGAGAGAGAGAGAGAGAGAGAGCCGTATTCAGACTTTTTGATTGCTCAGTGGTTACATAATATTTTTCTACTAGTTAATCAAATACTGCCTAATAATAATAATAATAATAATAATAATAATAATAATAATAATAATGATTAAAGAAATACAAAAAATTGTTCTCACAAGTACAGCCCACACCTTATGAAGGGCTTTATCTATATAAAATATGTGTTGTTGCATTTTTTGTTGTTCAGTGGAAAATGTCATGATGCCATTTCTGACCTTAGGTTTCTGGGAGGGACCCGAAAAGAAATGACTACACACCAGAAAAGAAAGGAAATATAAATAATAATAAATAACTTAATAAAATAAATGAATAAATAATAATAATAATAATAATAATAATAATAATAATGTTTCATAATTTATAATAATAATAGTATAATAATAATAACAATAAGTGATTTTATGGGAGAGAGAGAGAGTGAGAGCCATATTCAAGCTTTTTTGATTGGTCAGTTGTTACATAATGATTTTCTACTGATCAATCAACTACTGCTTTGTGAATAGTCAACAGAAAATCAAGAGAAATGTTAATGATTAAGTATCAACTGTGACAGAACAAATGTCGATAATTTTAAAAATTATGTTTTCCTGTTTAGCTTCATTCACGATCTTCAAAAGGTTCCCTTCTTTCAAAAGGCTTATAAAGCAACTTGCTTAACTTTGATTCAAGTTGTTTTCCGATAACACTTGTTACCTGAATTACTTATCAAAAGACTTGATCTTTGAAACACAACTTCAGCCGACGTTTGTACTGGATTAAAATTCTCTCCGAAAAACATTATTTCACTTTTTTTACATTATCATCAAATGTGATATATCACATTTGATAATAATGTAAAGAAAATGAATTAATGGTTTAGAAACTTATAAAAAAAAACTCTTAGAAACTATATTTTTAGAGAAACTAAAACCTTGAGAATTAAAGTGTTGGATCGTGAATTTGGCATATTATAATTGTTGGTTTAATTCCTAGGACGTGTAGTACCGACTCAGTGTCAGTGGAAACAGGGTGAACGATAAGGCTGGAGAATACAACGGCCAGAGTGTGATCATAAAAACAATGATGAGAATATTAATTTGGATCTGAATAATTTAAAAAAAAACACAGTAATGTTATCATTTTGACTTTTAACTTTGGATCAAACAGTCCTATACAAGAAGTTGTTGTTATGCTTCTTGATTCCTTGGGGAGCATCGGGCAAAAACAACAACTCTCCAACGTTCGCGGTTCTGGGTGATCCTCTTCAGTTCGGCCCCATATTGTGCCGGGTCTGCCTTCATCTCTGCGTCAACACATCTGCCGATCCACTTTTCGCTTCTCTTGTGGATTCCAGACAAAGACCTGTCTGGCGACTCTAGAAGCAGGCTCGCGTAGTGTGCGGCTGATACATCCACATTTTCGTTTCTTGATGTCAGTCTCGATTGGTGCTTGTCTGGTCCTGTCCCTCAGTTGGTCGTTGGAGACGACATCCGGTCACTTGGTAGTGGTTGAGGGTTGTGCAGTAGGCTAATAAACTAGTCACTTAAAAACTATCTTGTTACAGAAACCAAACGATATCTTCATACAATTAGTTGGAAGTCTTATTTCATGAAACACTAAGAAACACTTGAGTTTCTAGTGGGGGCATTTATTATTTACATTCAGCCTGATGTCCTTATCGTTTCGACTGTTGGGAAAGGTATGAATCCACTTCCTACCCTAAGCTATGGGTTAAATAGTAGCGTTGGAATCTGCAAACAAAAACATTATTATTCTAAAAATATTGTTAATTTATTATTCACGCACAACAAGGCTTACGGCCACATCACGTTGAAGCACCGGTTACCGTACCCTCACCAAAGTTAAGCAACGTTGACCTTGTCAGTACTTCGATGGGTGACCATTTGGAAATACCAGGTGCTGTACGCTGGGGTGTGCGGGTGGTGTATTTGATAATGGCTCTGAATTCTTAATCCGAAAGCTGGGCAACAATTCCCATTGGGTACGTTATATTCACTTACGCGTAAATACGTTTGAGATAGGTCTAAATCCATCTTTTCTCCTCCCATCTACGGGTTAATTAGTAAGACTTTCTATCTAAACTAATGATTACCGCAAAGAAAAATTCTCCAAATCTCAAAATATTTTCTGGCTGTAAATAACCTTCAAAAGGATGGTGAGCCGTAAAATTATTCGCTTACAAAAAAAAAAGAAAGATAGAAAAATATTTTCGAATCTAAAAAATCTAAAGTTTAATGTCCCTAGTTTCAAGTATAGCTAAAATAACTAATGTGATTTCGGGCAGTACTGTAAATCAGTTGGCAAATGTTTTCCGTGAATGGCAAAATCGTATTACCCTTTGTATTGCTAATGATGGAGGACATGTGGAAACTTAAATAAAATTTCAATAAAACCTTAAAAAATATAGATTTACTTCTTTCTAATCCTTTTTACAAATTATTTCTATCGCAAATACAAATAAAGTTATAAATTTTAATGTGCACACGGACTTTATGGACACGCTGTATATATATATATATATATATATATATATATATATATATATATATATATATATATATATATAATATATATAAGCCTGTATAAATGTTGGAATGTTTATGTATATAAGTGGATGTATGTACAGCTATATATAAAGCAAGAGACGATATGTGCAGGCAATTAACTGATTTGAAATCTGTGTCGTTTCCCCGGTCCGCTTTCTCCGACTTACGGAGCCAATTAGCCTCTTGATTAACAAAGTTTCGGGCGAATATAAATCTTTTCGGATCTCTTTACCCGCAACAACCTTTTATTAATATGAAATTTAATTAGTTTGAAATTGATCTCTGATAAAATCTAAACAAATTGCAACAAATTGATGCGATAGGCAATTGTCTATAACTTGCATCACAATCCAAGAGGAAGAGAGATGATTGACACTCCGTACCCGACCAAGTGCGCTGTTATTAATATCCGATATCATCTTCTCTTTCTCGATCCTTCCTCAACTATATTTTGCGTTGTGTGCGTGCTTGTACGAATGATCTGTCTCTATTGTCCGTATTGCAATGATATGACTAGCATCGTATAATTGATCGTGATATCTAACACGGAAGTCTTTTTTTTTTTTAAATAATATCACTTCAAGTAAAGTAGGAGTCAAGAGTAACTGAATATTAAAAAAAATGATTTAAAACTACTATTAGTAAGAGAGGACAAAAACGAATAAGAGTTAAGAAGACAGAAGCTAACGATTGACATTGAATTTTCAAGATCACATTTAACTGGGAAGCAAGAAGCTAGAAATGAGTTCCACCAGCGAGAAGTGAGACAGAAGAAACTATTAACATAGACCTTACGGTTACATCTAGCCATTTTAATTGTAAAATAATGAGACATTTCCGCCAATCTAGTAGAGCGCTTAAATTCATAAGTTCTACGTACCATAGAGGAATGTTCATTGGAACAATTATCATGAAAGTATTTCTAGAAAACGCCCAGAGATGCAACGGTACGACTGTGGGAAAGGGACTGAAGCCGAGATGCCAGGTCAGGACTAATAAAATTGTCGATTCTTCTTTGTATTTTATCAAGAATCTCTAAATATATAGCAAGTGCCCCAGACCCGGTACGGCAGCAATATTCAAAACAAGGAAGAATGGTTGACTTATAAATATGTAAGGTAGCGTCTCTGTCTATATTTCTGAGATGAAGTATTATCTACATTATTTACATTATTCGGACTATTGTTCTCATCTTTGTCGCCATATTTATTACAACGTTTCGGCCGTTGTACACTCCGGCTAAAAATTCATAGACAGATGTCCTCAAGGACTCATGGCACAGTGGATAAAGGCGTTGGTTAGATCCAGTGACAGGACCCAAAGAGTGCGAGTTCAATACCCGGTTAAGGCAGTGGAGAACCTTCAGAGGTAAATTAACAGGAAATAAATGATAACTGACATCCATTAAACATGGCACGCGGAACTAGAACAGTCTACCCCAGTGAACGAAATAAAGGGTTAAGTTCGACATTCCAACCGGAGCGTACAACGGCCGAAACTTTGTAATAAATATGGCGACAAAGATGAGGACAATAGTCCGAATAATGTAAATAAGGTAGAGTCTGTCGCAAGATATAGTGAGCCAATTTTCTTAGGCACAGACAGTTGATTTAATATATTCTTTCCACTTTATGTCAGCTGAAAAGATTAGTCCGAGAACACAGAATGGTTCACTCTTCTGGAGGTTAGATGAGTAGAGTTTGTGATAGAAATAAAAAGTAACAAAATCTTAGAGAGATAGAGAAAAAACGATTTAGCCATAAGCAAGGAAGATAATCTATTGTCATCAACCAACGTAAAGTTTGTGAAAGCTTGCTTCGAATTGTGTATTTCTTGGAAACGGAGAGATGAACTTTCTCTAGAGAAAGTCTGCAGATCGTAATGGTTGATATTAGTGAAAGAAGATTTTGCGATGACTTCAAGAGATTTGTTTTTTTTTCATTTTTTTCAGAACTGAGCAGTTATTTCTCTACACATTTTCCGTGTATTTATTATCTTCGAATTAACATGCCATTTTTGGAAAGACCGTGTTGTGGTTTCCAGGTATCTTATCCATGGTTTGGAATTCAGAAGTACTACAAGACTGGTTGGTAGCCAAGCCTAAAGAGCTCAATTTATTCTGCTGTTTAATACATAGGTAGATAATTGTACAAATGGATGTAAGACTTCCCCAAAGATAACTCTTCGGAGTAATGTCAACGTATTTGGCTGAAATTTTAATTCGGCTTACCTGTTTCATTTTCTCTACGGATAACGATTACCTTACTAACATTTTGATTCTGTCACAAATAAAACAGAGACTACTTATGAAAGATTTCTAAAGATTATGGGAAAAATGAGTAGCCTAAAAAATATTTTATTATTTGTAAAAATGCCATGTGCCTTCATATCATCGGTGGTCATGACACTCCACAGGAGTTGATATGATTTTCCTTCTTCTACATTGGTTGCGTGTTTAGTGCCAGTCTTCTTATCATTTCCAAGAGTATTAATGATAACATAACTACCAAAGCCTGGATTTGAACTTGGTTCTCAGTTCCTATATGCGTTGCAATATAGGCGCATCCCTTAGTGTTAACAAACAATAAATATGACATCGATTTCTATATTTCACTGATGCAACACTGGAAAAACAGTAGAATTTTTATATTCAGCAAACGTACAAAACCTGAAATGCGCTTATATTTTAAAATATACAAAGCAGTCTATTTTTTTTTTAATTAAATAAGCAGAAATTATAAAATAAGTTATTTAATATAAACAATTTTGTAATTTTATTGGCGAGGAAAGGCAAAATCGACCCATGTCGATCTATTTGGTCGTCACTGAAATTAACGTCTTGCTTCGGGTTTGCCGCGGTACACAGATAAGTATTAATTCATGAAACAATTTTCTAATGATTAAAGCTATAGTACTAATATTTATGTGCATACAAATGTCTTAAGGTGATGTTGACATCTGATATATACATACATATATATATATATATATATATATATATATATATATATATATATATATATATATATAGTTATAGTTGTGCATAAAATGAAACGGCCAAATATAAGCAGGCGTGTATGTGTGCTGGTGTGCATGTATAGTTGCACGCCAAAACGCAGGTACACGTATATGTACTAATTAATACACACACATACATACATATATATATATATATATATATATATATATATATATATATGGCGAGGGAGAGAGAGAGAGAGAGAGAGAGGAGTGGAGAGGGGCGGGATGGATAAATTGTCGTCTAACTTATTCAGAAATGAAAATAATATTTACATCTCATTTTAACAAATATATTTACCAAAACTGCACAAAAATATCTTGAAATAATCAAGAGCAAATTCATTCAGTTATATCACCAGTGGCTTCAACCAGTGCCTCTTGACGACTTCCGAATCTTCCTTGTTTAATTTGGTAAATGCTGCCATAAGCCTTGCTTTCAGTTTATCTGTGGTTTTTCAAGGAGTTTTCTTGGTCTCTCGCTCAACTGCTCCCCACACATAATAATCAAGGGGGGGTTGCAGTCTAGTGAGTAAGGTGACCTGATGTGAGAAGTATTGCGGTCGCAGAAATTGTCTTACAGTTATGACTGAGTTCTCCTGCTTGTGTGGCATAGGTCAGAGCCCTGTTGACAGCCATAGGCTCTTCGAGTATCCACCCTTTTGAATCTAGGGCAGCACCACCTCCCCAAAACATTTGATCTAGGCCTCTTTGTTGAATCTGAGTTTCCTCTCTCCTAAATTCGGGAGTTCTGTTTTTATCATTTTTTTATTGCTGACATTTCATAATTTAAGTAAAAGATTAGTTAATTTAAAACAAAAACGGAGAATAACTGGATGGCTAAATAGTGATGTTATAATTTATTTCTATAAAGTATTTGTGGAGAAAAAACAGGACAATCGCAGACGAATTAATGTCAGATTACAATCCATTTTTTAGAGAAACATATCAAGTGAGACAATTCATGTAATGACCGGAGCATTTTGCTGGGGTTATGAGCCAGACAAACACAATAGATAGATGGAAAATGATTGAGATAGGTATGACTAGACTGAGATAGATAGATAGATAGATAGATAGATAGATAGATAGATTCTACTTTCTTGATACGTAGGCCAGTAAATCATTGCCAAGCAGTAGAGAAATTTATACGTGTTCATGTCATACTGTTGGTGGAAAATGGCTAAAAGGATTCTGAAACAGCTATGATCCGGTTAGACAAACAAAGACCTGCTTAGACAAGCTATGACCAGCTTAGACAAGCTAAAAACTGCTTAGACAAGCTATGACCAGCTAAAACCTGCTTAGACGGGCTATGGTCAGCTTAGACAAGCTAAAACCTGCTTAGACAAGCTATGACCAGCTTAGACAAGATTTGACCAGGCGGTTAAAACACACTTTGTGTCACAAGCTGACTCAGTGGGCAGGGGGGGGGGTCAAGTAAATCGCCTTATTAGTGAAAGGTATTCAGAAAAAAAAAACTGCTAAGGACAAAGGCAGAGCTTCATAGAGTTCTTCGAAGGCGACAGCTGCAAACAGTAACCAGGTAAATAAACTTTACTTTTAAAAAGGAATTCCAAGAATTCAGTTCTTCAATCTAATATATTGCATGTATTTATTAACTATTAAACGTATTCCAACGTTTCTGTTTGTTTTTTTTAATTTCAAAAAATGGTTTTTCTTCTGTGCATTTTTTATGTATCTTTCCAGATAAAAGGACGTTTGCGACAATTGCAAATATATTGGTTTTCGCTACAAAATATGATCATCTTACTTTAGATGCATTTATATTCAATTGCTCGAATACCTGCTAAAAATGATTCGAATATCGAAAATAAAGCTACCAGTATAAAATAAGATGGTACGGCAAAACATATAAAATAAAACTGCCAATTTGAAAGTGAAGTTACCCGGTTTCTTGATGTTCTTATCAGCAAGGCGCGTGTGTTAAGATATTGTCATTTATTTTCAATCACAGTCATCGATATCTGAAATTGTGTCGAGTTTAATTTGAAAGAAGGAAAGGGATAATTATCGAAATTCTCTGAGAAAACGCAGAATTCTTTTCTGTAGTAGAAAAGTCGATTTCCCACCCGCTGTAGGGAAGAGACAGATCTTTAGAAAAAGTAAAGCATGCTGTGATAATTAGATTTGACTGCGTTACGATGTTGAATATATTAGTCGAACTTGTACATCTTTATTGTTTCTGTTACTTTTAGTGGAAATAAGTGTTGATATCAATCAGGCTATACCATTCACGTCATTATCTATCTATCTATCTATCTATCTATCTATCTATCTATCTATCTATCTATCTATCTATCTATCTATCTATCTATCTCAGTCTAGTCATACCTATCTCAATATTTTTCCATCTATCTATCTATCTATCTATCTATCTATCTATCTATCTATCTATCTATCTATCTCATTCTGTTAATTTTCTGTCTCTTTATCTATGACACGTGTTTTTTTATAAAAAGAGTCTCTCAGTCTATATTACAATTTCCTCTATATCACACTAGCCATCAGACGATCTATCTATCTATCTATCTATCTATCTATCTATCTATCTATCTATCAATCTATCTATCTATCTATCTATCTATCTTAATTATCCATCTGTTTATCTCTCTATGTATCTCGTTCTGTTAACTATCTATCGATCTATCTGTCTATCTGTCAATCTATATTAAACTTTACATATATATATCTCTAGTCATTGACTATCTATCTATCTATCTATCTATCTATCTATCTATCTATCTATCTATCTCCTTCTGTTAATTATCTATCTATCTGTCTGTCTATCTATTTCTATATCTATCTATCTATCTATCTATCTATCTATCTATCTATCTATCTATCTATCTCTTTCTGTTAATTATCTATCTATCTGTCTGTCTATCTATTTCTATATCTATCTATCTACTTCTGTTATCTATCTATCTATCTATCTATCTATCTATCTATCTATCTATCTATCTATCTATATATAACACTTTCCCAATATATCACACTAGCCTTTGACTATCTATCTATCTATCTATCTATCTATCTATCTATCTATCTATCTAGATAAATATGTAAGTAGTTCAATGTATTCAATTCTATGAACAATATGGCAAACAATGTTAGCAATGAATATTGTGTTATTTAACCAATATTCTTGCAATTTCGGAAATTAAACTGTGTTAGGAGATTTTGTATACAAGAAATATCGCCCATGGCTACAGGCTGATAATAAGCCACCTTGTGAATATTATTATTATTATTATTATTATTATTATTATCGACACAAAATCTTATAAACGTGGAAAAAATTATTTTATTTATTTACATGGCAATATGTGTTCTTTGAGAATCTATAGCATTCATAACTCTGTCATTCGTTAAATTTACAAACTTTTTCGTCTGTTTTGCTTTTGAATTTATTTGAAGCATTTTCTTTTATTTCCTCCAAAAGATTTTCTTCGATTAAATAATATTTTCTATTCTCATATTTATCTACTTCAACAATAGCCCAAAAGAATGCCATTTGATTAATATGTGAAGACACTCTTGACTATTCCATTCATTCGGAGACATTGGAACTTGTTCAGTCAGGGTGAGCAATAATGAATTTTGCAAAATAAGAGGCAGAAGTATCTTGCGTGGATATAAAATTTACCTTACAATTCTAGATTGTAATTTGTATCATGTCAATAATTATCTGCATTTACCTTGACGCACAGATCAACTCTAAATGCCTACATTGCTTTGGACTGAAACCGTCACAGAAAATATTTTGTACTCGGAATGATAACCTCACACTCTAAAGAAGCCGAAAGCAACTTCTCAAATGCAATGCAACGAACACAACGTTGGTGCCAATTTCAGATGACCAATTGCTGCGAAAAATAAATACTGTTTACATTATTCGGAATATTGTCCTCGTCTTTGTCGCCATGTTTATCACAACGTTTCTGACATTGTACACTCCGGCCTTCTTCAGGTGGTTGGAATGTCGAACCCTGGGTACATAGCACCAGCTCCAAAAAACTGGGATATGCGGGTACAAGAGAAGGACAACAATACGCAGAAAACAGTCTGCCTGCCTTATCTGTAGGGGTTATCAGAGAAAATGCAAAGGATCTGCGGTCTATATAACATCAAGACAACCTTCAAAAGTGGGACGACACTTCGCACACCCGAGTAAGACCCCCCATAGAGGAGAACCTATATAAAGACTGTGTGTACTCTATCTCATGCAGCTGCGTAAATAAATATAAAGGTAAGGCTTCAAGAACACCAGAAAGCTGTAACATGAGGGGAAATGGAAAAATCAGACGTCGCTGACCACATATGGAGAGAAAAGAGAAATCACCGCCCTCTGTTGGATCAAGTTGAGATCATAGACAAAGAATATCAATGGAAAATTTGTAAACGTAAGGAATCAACACATATGCTAGGCCACAAAAATCTCCTGATCCGACTAAGCATAGAAATACAATATGGGAATCAGTAATAAGGAGTCCCAGAGAAAAGAGATAATATGAGCTCTAGTAAAAAAACATGCAGTTGATAACAGCAAAAATTGCAATATGAGCACCGGTAAAAATTGTTAGCTGAAAACATTACATTTTTGATACGCAGAAATTCATAGACAGATGTCCTCAAAGACACATTGCACAGTGGATAAAGGCGTTAGTTAGATCCAGTGACAGGACCCAAAGAGTGTGAGTTCAATACCTGCAGAAGGCCGGAGCGTACAACGGCCGAAATATTGCGATAAACTTGGACAATAGTCCGAATAATGTAAACAGTGTACATAATAACTCATCTCAGAAATATAGACAGATACTGAAATATGAAACTTTGAAAGAGATTAGGATCTCAAAGTTAAACATCTCAAAGTTAAACATCTCAAAGAAAGATCAAGTGACAAATCAACCCAAGGAATGAAATAAAAAAAAATAAAAAAACAAAAAAAAATGACGGATGATATTTTATATCTAAGGAAAGGAGAGTAACAGGAGGTATATACAGTTCAGTTTTCTCAAGTCACTTCTTCATCTGTGAAGAGGATTGTTCAGGATTCACTGCTGTAAGGGTGGACTGGTAATATATAACAGTTCAATACACTTGTCTGTCTAACGAAAGTACCTGTTTCTTCATACCTTGACTCATGTTCCGTACTACAGGGACTTCAGATTGCATATTCTGCTAACATTAGGAGGACATGATGCGTATCAATCTATGTTATTCTATGATCTATTGCCGTAAGCAATAGAACATATGGTGTCACATCAGCTTTTGCGTATTTGAGATATATTGCCGCGATAATTTCATTTCTAATACGTATTTCCTTAAAAACACGTAAAGAATATACCTCTGCTATTTCCTTAAAACACGTAAAGAATATACCTTTGCTAACTTTTTGTCATGTTTTTCTTGTATGCGAACAAAATATTTCATGTCCTACGATCACTGCAAAGATATTAGTAGCATAATGCCGTATACGAACAAATAGAAGAAAAAAAAATCCTGAGATCTGTTCGGGTTGAACGAATTTCAGATCCACCAGACGTTAACATTTTCAGTATGAGAAGAAAAACCGGCTGACCGAAGCATTTGATGAAGATCTTTATTTCTTCTTTCACATAATCAAGACGCCTACTATAAATGCGAAGCTGAATAATTTTATGACTTTATCTCATTACCTCCTTTCAAACACACACGCACACACACACACACACACACACACACACATATATATATATATATATATATATGATTATGGATAACTAGACTCGTTTCGAAAAACCCTCGATTTTTGATTTGCTAATAATCAAATCAATCTCGAGGGAGGATATCAATCCAGGGAGAGCCCAATGTAGACTTCAGAGAATAATAATAATAATAATAATAATAATAATAATAATAAAGACGAAAACCTTAAAGATTCATAATTTATTTCGTTAAGATCTATATATTCATCTCTTCAGACAGAAATCTATTAGGAAAAATAAGATAATTCTTTACTAAGAGATGAATTATAACCGAAACGTTTTCTTCTTGATTATATATATATATATATATATATATATATATATATATATATATACATTTTGTTACATGTCATTTCTATAAATGCAGTTCATTTAAGGGAATGCTCTGTTTTTAATCAAACAGTATTAATAATTCCGAACTATTACACATTATACCAACTGCACATCCACGTTTACAACACCTGATATTCAAAAGTGGTCGCTCACTTGGTACTGACCGCACTCGACTTTGCTTAACTTCTGTGATCTTATAGTAACCGGTATTCTAATGTATTGCAACCGTAAACTATACAGAATATATCAATCATATTTTAACAAAATTTGCGTTCGGGTTCCTCATACTAAAATAGGGACTAACGTCCATGTAAACACATATGTCCGAAAAGACCTACATTTGTGAGTTAAGCTTAAAGTGTACAATTCCAGATACAAACCCAAAATAATTTTACAAATTTTGAAGGTAGGTTCTTGCCACCAAAACAAGGTAAAATAACATATGTCCAAATGTACAGGAACTCATAACAAAAGTTCAAATTGTCCTCCATTTGATTCTACACCCGTCGGATCATTGACTGGCGGAGCTTTTCAAATACTCTCACACGGCGTCGAATGGTTTCATGGAAGATGTGAGCCAGTGCATCGCGAACAATGTGATTAAAACGTTGTTTAAACTTAATAACTCTAAGACGAAGAATTTGTGGACATGATTATGATATATATATATATATATATATATATATATATATATATATATAGATAGATAGATAGATAGATAGATAGATAGATAATATTAGTGTCTGTCTATATTTCTGAGATGAGGTATTATGTACATTATTTACATTATTTGGACTATTGTCCTCATCTTTGTCGCCATATTTATCACAACGTTTTGGCCGTTGTACGCTCCGGCCTTTTTCTGGTGGTTGGAATGTCGAACTGAACCCTTTATTTTGCTCATATATATATATATATATATATATATATATATATATATATATATATATATATATAAATAGAAATAAAAATATATAAATATAAATATAAAAGTGAACATTGAAATAAACACGAGGTGACAGGCTGTTTCATGCTGGGCGCAATCGTCGCTTCCAAGGTTATAATTTATTACACTGGAATCGCAATCACGATCCAAATCATCAGACCTAGAAATTCAATTTGCAGGTCAGATGAATTGATCGTGATTACGATTCAAATTTAATAAATTGTAACCATGGGAAATTTGTGTTTGTGCCTTTTATATTACACACACACACACACACTCACATACCCCCCCATATATATATATATATATATATATATATATATATGTCTCTGTGTGTGTGCGCGCGCGTATGTAACTGTGTATGTGTGTGTCTGTCTGTGTACGTATGTGCATAAATGTTAAATTAATACGCACCAACATTAGAAAGCTACTAAAAAGTGCTTATTCTGACTGGAATTGAACTCACGTCATTATCAACTGTAGTGCTCGAAAAACATTTTCTTGGTTGTATAAAAGTGCCAAATGCGCGTGTGTGTATCTGTATTTTTTTTAGTTGTGTTATCTGCACATATATTTCTGTGTGCGTGTGCTTTTGTGTGTCGTTGTGCATGTGCTTTTGTGTGTCGTTGTGCATGTGTGTGCGTTCGTGTATACTCATTTTCTCATACGTGTTTAAGTAGAAAAAAAATTTTCCAAAGATAAGGTAAAAAGCGTTGACCTTTGCATTACTTTTTCAATCTTTTCTGCCCTTTTCGATTTTCTTATGTGCTTCCCGCAGAATATTCGACTTTGGTCGGCTCGGAAGGGAAGCAAGATGAGAAGAAGAAGAGAAAAATAAATAGAAATCATAGATGCTGTGTTGGGCATTTGTCATAACGCGTTACCGGACTATTGGCCTCACGGCGATCAGAATAGACGGTTCAGCCCATGTGACAGGTGTCGGCTGCTTGTGTCAAATTTGCGCCATGAAGATGAACGGATCTAAACATTGGCATTTTCGCTTCAATTAGGTAGACTTACCTCGACAGAAGT